AATATTTGAACTTTCACCACGTCTCCCAGAGGTTTAGCAAAGATCTTTGAAAATCGAATGAGGCGGATCATCAACTTTTAGAATTCCACCATGGGCAGCATTCAACTCATGTCGCATTCAATAAAAGTCTTACAGTCGCCTTTGCAAGCCCAAAACAAACAAAACATGAATTGCTGCTGGCTCACAAATGTGCTTACAATACATATGCAATGTGAGCATGCGTGTGTTTTAATTGATGTGTCGAGCAGTTGGCACTTACTTGTAGATCTTTTTGTCGGTAGCCGATTTATCGGGTATATCCAAATACTGGATGTTGTCTGCCATCGTGCGGTGCGTTTGTTGAAAACTCTGTGTGGTTGGTATTAGCGGTTTATTGCTACGGTTTGCGTATCGAGTGAATTGCCCGTCCGACGACAGTGACAGTTGTAAATGGCACTGGGAATTTGTTCTGATTGTCACTGACGACGACAATGATGTGACTGATGATAGGCAAAATTTGAAGCACCGACTGCTGCGGTGTAGCCAGAGCATGCACAGTCTGTATACAGTAAATTCGCAGGTTGCTCTTTTACAATTCTATTTCAATATTATCAATTATTTCTTGAATCGGCCACAACTCACCGTTCGCCGCGTGTTTGCCGGCCAAGTAATTTTTTCGCTGGTGTTGACAAGTAGAAACTTATCCAATACCGATGCCGATATTACAACTGCGATTTACAGCACTCTACACACAATTGGTATCGAAATATCAGCAGATTATAATTTATCGGCAAGAATGACAAAAAGAAAGCACACTGCGACTGCCAATAAGGGGTGGGTGCATAGCGAACTAATTAACAAGTTAAAGACTTTTATTATGACATTTCGATTAGAAGTGTAAGTAAAATTAATGTTTAATTTTAAATTGATTGTCACACTTATATTGCACTGGTGCGATGACAGTTCAAATTGGAAAATAACTATCGTCAATTGTAAGTGTTGTTAAACACTTCAATTGCCAGCACTGAGATCAGCTGTTTTTCATGCCAGAGCAATTGGGCGATAACGATAGCTATTTATGACATGCAATGAGTGTGCATGAGTGCGTGTGTTAGTGGCCAGCATATATAGGTATATATATATGTATGTATGTATATGTTTATATATATATATGTATATATATATATTTATGGCGACAACGAAAATAATAAATAAATAAATAAATGCCTTTATATGCGTGTATGTGTGTGCTGATAGATGATGCACAAAGATGACAAATTAATACACACACGTTTGCTCGCTAAATACAAACAGCAACAATACTAAAACGCGAGCAATACAAAACCAGCCAAAATCTAAAATCAAATTGGTAAGCGCAACTGATAAACTTATCAAAATCGATGATAATTCTAATATTGTCTATGCTCGCTATGCTTATGCGCTTTTGTGTGTGTGTGTGTGTGTGTGTTCGCCTGAGTACTTTCTGCGTGCATTTCCACTCACACACACACACACGCGCGCGCGCACATGTATGCACAATCAACTATCTAATGCTTTTGTTGTTCCTTTTTCATGTGTTTATGCTGCGGCCACATACAGTTTGCCAACCATTGGAGGCGGCATTGGCTAACGGTTAACAGGCAGTTGCACAGTCTGCGCCCACAGCAAAACAACAGCAACAACAACAACAACAACAATAGCGACTCAGACGCAGACAGGAAATAAGAAATAATTAAATATTCAAAGTACGTGCGACCATATTGAAGCCACAAAATTTTCGCCCTGGCCGAGTCAAGCAGCAACAGTAGCTACAACAACAACAACAACAACAACAACAATTATAGCAGCAACTACAAGCAGTGGCTGAGGATGGCCACTGGCAGCAACGATATGCCAGACCATCGGAAGCGCAACACCTTCACCAGCTACGTGGCGCCCATGGCTGGGGATGTGCGCGCCACAGCGGATACGAACGAATGGTGCCTGCCCAGTGATTTACGTGATGTGCATTTGGCCAAGCCCCGACTGCTGGCAGGCGAGCAAATAGTCGCCTCTGCGCCCGCCTACATGTACTCGCCGATTGCGCCCATGGAGGGCAGCAGCGGCAGTGGGAACAGCAGCGGGAGCGGCACTGTGACTGGGACTGGCAACAGCAACAATGGGCAGAGCAACAATAGCAATAACAGCAATGGCAGCAACAGCGTGGGCAGGAGCAGAACCAGCCACAAAGAGGCCACCTTTGGCCTGCTCAGCGTGACCAATTTCAAGCTGGCGTTTGTGCCGCTGCATGGACGAGCCACGCTTTCGGCGCCGCTGGCCAGCGATCTGTATCAGGAGAATGCGTATTTGGGCCGCAACGAGGTGACGCTTAATAATATCGATCAGATCTATACGATTGCGGAGCAGGGGCGTGCGGCGAGTGCGCTGCAGGCGGCGCGCATGGCCAGCACAAGCAGCCGGCGTAAAAAGCTGGAGCCGGCCAAGCAGCACAACATCAACGGTCGCATCGTGGCGCTTCACATTATCTGCAAGAACTTGCGCCTGCTCAAGTTCGCGTTCCAGCAGCAGGACTCAAAGCTGAGCGGAGCGAGCGATTATGGCAAACTTATTGCCTCGGCGCTGGCACGTTTTGCCTATCCGATGCGGCATGATCTTAGCTTTGCGTACGCCTACCGTGAGCCCTACTATTCCACGCTGGTCGGCGTCAGCATGTACGCCAGCAAGAACGATTGGGCGCGCGAGCTGATACGCTGCGGCGCCAGCGAGTGGCAGGTGATCAGCGCCAGCGCTGTGCCCCAGCTGCAGAATCGACTGCAGGCTGGCAAGTACCAGCTGCCGCCACACTTTGTCATACCCAAGTGCTGTGAGGTGGAGCGTTTCCTGCAGCTATCGTTTGCCTTTTGCGATTCACGTGCCGCCTTCTGGGTCTATAGCTATGGCAGCAGCGCCGCCTCGCTGGTCCGGCTGGCGGAGCTGCAGCCAGCTTCGCAGCAGGATACCAAAATGGAGAACATTATGCTGGAGCTGGTGCGCAAGTGTGATGAGCGCAAACAGCTGAAGCTGATCCAGCTGACCGACCAGCTGCCCAGCATACAGGATGTGCAGCGCGCCTATCAAAAGCTGCGACGTCTGTGCACGCCCGAAACGCCCGAGAAGTTCATGCTGCAGGATGACAAATATCTGGGCCTGCTCGAGAAAACCAATTGGCTTCTGTATGTCTCGCTCTGTCTGCGGCATGCCTCCGAAGCAGCTGCCACGTTGCGCGCTTCAATAACCTGTGTGCTGCAGGAGTCGAATGGCCGGGATCTGTGCTGTGTGATCAGCAGCCTGACGCAGCTGCTGCTCGATCCGCATTTTCGCACCATCGATGGATTTCAGTCGCTGGTGCAGAAGGAGTGGGTGGCCTTGGAGCATCCCTTCCAGCGGCGACTCGGACATGTGTATGTATCAACTGGCGAACAGGCGCCGGACAGCGAACAGAGTCCCATTTTTTTGCTCTATCTGGATTGTGTGTGGCAGCTGTTGCAGCAGTTCCCGGATGAGTTCGAGTTCTCGCAAACGTATCTGACAACGCTGTGGGACGCCTGCTTTATGCCCATCTTTGACACCTTCCAGTTCGATAGCCAGGCGCAGCGGACGCGAGCCGTTAACGAGGGCCGTCTGGTCTTGCGGCCCGTCTGGGACTGGGGCGAGCAGTTCTCCGACAAGGACAAGATGTTTTTCAGCAATCCACTGTACCAGCGCCAGCGTGGCGATTTGGTTGCCACCCAAAACCATCGACGCTCCTTGGCTGTGGGCGGCCACAAGCTATTGGCGTCGGCTGCCGGCGGCGGCGGCCCAGGTGCAGGTGCTGCCACAGGAACAGCATCTTCATCACGGTACACCATCAATCCGCAGCTGTTTGCCACGCAATCGAGTGTGCCGCAGGATCGTTACCTGCAGCCGGCGCATCGCATACTCGATCTGGCCGTGTGGGATCAGTGCTATTATCGTTGGCTGCCCGTGCTGGATATACGAGGCGGTGGCCAGCCGCAGGTGGATCTCTTTCATCGCCTGCTGCTGAGCAACATAGCCAAGGTGCAGCGATGCCTGGAGCTGCAGAACTTCGAGGAGCTGCCCGATGCCTACTACGATGCGCTGGGCGAGCAGCGACCCAGCCAGCAGCAGCAGCAACAGCAAGAGGAGCCCGTCGAGTATGTGGATGGCGTCGAGCGACGTCGCAAATCGATGCCAGGCACCGGCGCCGGAGCACCTGGCTCCTCAGCAAATGGCCTGAATGTCGTTAATGGTGGGCCATTGCAGCTATCGACGCTATCCTCTTTCTTTCCATTTGGCAACCCCATTGCTGGCGATGCGCCGCACGAGCTTTACGACATTCTGAGCAACAGCAGCGAGCTGCTACTGGACACCTCGTCTATACTGGACAAGTCGTCGATTGTATGAGCCGTGCTGGAATGTTGCGCAAAAGTAGTTGGCCACTCGCTACTCGCTGCTCGCCACTCGCTACTCGTTACTCGCTGCAACGAGTTGTTCAACACTCGCTCTGGGCGGACCTTGTTCCAATTACTATTGCTGGTTATTTTCAAAGCTGAACTTTAGAAGTATTACAAATCTACTTTTTTATAACTCTACACACACACATACACACACATATATATATAAATGTATATATATACACACATATATATATATATATATATATATATATATATATATAGCAATATATATATATTTGTATGGCATATCGCGTTTAACACTTTTTATTATTGTTTACTAATAGGCAAGTTATATCGCATAAGTCCCGTTTTTTTTTTAATGTATGTATGTAACTATTTCGAAAAAGAAAAGCAACTTATTACCTACAAATCGAACGAAACAAAACAACAATAATAATTATTAATAAACAAAGAAAAAAACAAAAGTAAATGTTTATATAACGGTAATAACAAATGTTATGTGCAAGCAATATACATACATACATGTATGTACGTATGTAAAACAAAATAACACCAACTAAATCAACATGTATTATATATTATGTATTGTAATATTTAAAAATAAATGAAACAATGTAAAAACATAAACGGCCCGTAGAGGGTTAAGCTCTAAATGCAGCGCACGCAACAGTAAAATGGCCCTAGCTCGGCCTCAAGGCAATAAGCTACTGCAGCCAACGGTAAATGGCAAAAGTTGTGCACAAAATACATACACACATACATACATACATGAGGCCGAAGACAAAAAACACTCAACGAGCAGCGATGGGGAGGTTAAGTTCTTAAAAGCTGCTGCAGGCAACGGTAAATGCTCAAATTTAAAGCCCAGCTTTGCGCGCAGCGTACATTATTCAAAATGGCCGATCAGCAGCAGCAGCAACAACAACGAGAACATGAACCGGAGCCGAGTCCCGCAAGCGGGCAACGCCAGCGCCGACGCTCGCCGCCGCCCATGCCGTCGGACGATGTGATGCGCAACTCGATAGCGCGCTGCTTGACGCAGATCGTTGTGAATATGCAAAATGCGGACATACAGCAAAGGTGTCGCGAGCTTTTGCAGGTTGAAGATTTGACTCAGGGCGCGCACATCAGAATTCTGGCTGCGCTGGAGCAGATCGATGAGCAGCGCGAACAGCGGGAACGAGCGGCCAGCGAGCGCAGGCAGCGGCGTGCAAATAAATCAATTTGATATACAATATGCATTTAATAATATGTACCTATATTAAATAAACATTTAATAATAGAACGTTGTGATTAGTAATTAATTTGTAACATTTTTGGTTGACTGGAGGGGGGGAGGGTTACTTTTACTTTTTGGCTGCATCGTTGGCCTCTGCCGCCTTCAGCAGCTCCGAGACAATGCCCACCTTTTTGAGCTCCTCGATCAGGTCGCCGTTTTGATGCATCTGCATCAGAATATCACAGCCCCCGACAAATTCACCATTGATAAACACCTGCGGTATGGTTGGCCAATCCGTGTAGTCCTTGACGCCTGATGTGAGACCGGGGTAAATATAGATTTAGATGTGTACATACATATATCCATATGGATTGGCACAAAGGGCGCCACTTACCCTGGCGCAGCGCCTCGTTCTCTAGAACATCGTGTGCATCGTATGGGACTCCATGCATGCGCATTATTTGCACCACCGCATTGCTAAAGCCGCAGCGCGGCGCTTGTGGATTACCCTTCATGAATACGACCACCTTGTTGGTACGCACCAGCTTCTCAAGTGTGTCCTTGTCCAATGCGGCCGGCGGAGCGGCTGCGTCCGCGCTATACCAGCGGCGTGTAGCTGTCAGCACTGGCACTGTACGTGCTGTTGTTGCCAAATTGCTGGCATAGCTTGGACGCAGTAGAATTTGGCAAATTCTGTTCATATTTGCTTATATATTTTCTCAATACTCAACTTTTTGTCAATTAAAACGAATGTTGTTTTGTAATAAATTGTATGTTATGTTGACGCAATAGGAGCTAACACTGACGCAGTTTAGAGTCACTGTTAGCGCAAAAATACCATTCACTTAAAATTGCGTTAACATTAGACTGCACTATGCTATTACGTGCAAGCCTTTTTGAATTTTCTAACATGCAAGGCCTGTTCGTTTCGAATTAAAATACATATTTTAGCATTTCTATAAATATTTTATGTATTCATAAATAGATGTCTTTTTGTGCATGTAAAGGTAGCAACTGCATATATATTGACTTTTAAATACCAACTTTTAAATACCATTTCAACACACTTTCTTTTAACCAATGTCTAGTGCTGAGTAACGTTTTTGTAACGTTTATTTAAAAATTTCACCATAACCAATAAGTAACAAAAAGCGCACTTAATGCCAACGGGTTTCATCAGAAAATTTTTATTTCCAAACTTCATAAATATCTTTTACAATTTGAATTTGTTTATTTTGTATTTTTCAAGCGAGGATTCTGCTGTTTCGTTTTCGGTTTGGTTTTAAGCTTAATTGTTTCTTTCCTTAGCTTGAATGCACTCTTGCGTTTCAGAAAATCAAAATCAAATTAACATACTTTTATACTTCATTTACAAAAAATTAATGAAGAAGAAAACACAATTAAGTTGTTATACAGATATATACGCATATATGCATAGAATATATACCAATATGTGTGACTACTTTCGTTCAATTTTCTATTTTTGCCGTAAGGAAATTGCTTTTCAAAATATGCTTATTAAAACTAAAGTATTTGCATTATATAGATGTTAATATGTCTTATATGGAACATAAATCAAATCACACACCTAAGTTTACATTTTCTTTTGTTTATATTTTATATGCCAGCAAAATTAGATTTATTGCCTAGCAAGGCTTAAGATCTATTGTGAAGATCAAAATAATTGCATTAACTGAGGGAGTTCTGAGTTCGTGTCTTGTGAGAAAAATAATTTAAAAAAACAAAAACTAAACCCAAAGTGAATATATGTCTTAAGTGTGAATAATAAGAAGGTTTTTTTTTTTAACTATTTATTTTATATATTTTTGTATTGATGTAAAGTTTAAATAAATATTTTGTGAATGGGTGCAAAAGCGGACACATCAGCTATCAGGTTTTTCTTGTTGTTGTTGAGCAATCGATGTGCAGTTATCGATGAATGATATTGAATTTGAAAATGATAACATTCATTTGGTTAAAAACAATAATCATAATAAATGATAATGATAATAATAGTGTAATACATAGTTATATAGTATGTATATAATCATAAGTTCATACGCAGCATTTTTAAATAGAAGTTCATTTTCTTTACTTTCATTTTCGTTTCTCATTTTCGGGCTCTTTTTGCTTTATTCTTCTTGATTTCATTATTTTTAAACTATAATTGTATGTAGTCGTAATAATAATATTTATACAGTTGCTTGCTGTTATTTTTTTTAAATTTTTTTTTTTATTTTTTATTAGTGCACAATAATATTAATCATATTAATTAAGTGCATACATAAATTTGTTTATGCATGTCTTCATACGCCAACGGGCACTTGTACCCTGTATTTGTATGACAAAAAAAAAAAAGAAAAAAATAGAAGCTATTTTAATTATGTCATCGTCCGGTTTTCACCGAAACAATACAAACTATATCAATTATGGCCCCTAGCGTGGGTTAACTTTGTAACAATTGTTCGTTCTAGTATCGAATACGTACGCTAAATCAAATTTATTTGAAAGTTCAAAACAATTCGAAACACAAAATTGACACATTTCACTACTACATTGGCAAAAATTTTGCTATGCAAGCTGTTGCGTGCCTGCACACAGACGTAGCTCACAGACAAGCGCGACAAAGCTGCCGCAGTGTACACTCGCGGCGAGTTACCAATACAGATACACAGCAAAGGCATGCAGTGTCTGTGTGCGTGAGTGCGCAAACGCAGCTAGCCGAAATTTTGCTGGTAAATACATATGTATGTATGTGCCTACATTGAGGACTTTTTTATTTTGTTGTGTTTTTAAGTTTTAGCTTTTTTTACTTTTGACTAAGAGGCTATGCCTCTATCTAATGTATACAAACAAATAAATTTTTTTATAGATGTACAATTTTCACGTTTTTCCTTTGTTTTCGTTTCATTTTCTTTTTTGTTTGTTTTGGGGTTAACATGGTTTTTGGGGATTGGCACAGTATATTACATATAATACAAAGGTTATCGGTTGCGTTTGCCTTTTTTTGTTTTTTTTTTTTTGTTTTTTAAGTGCACAAGATGACAAATTTGCTAAAGAATTCGTATTACTTACATATCGAACTTCAACAAAGATTGTGGTTGGTTGGAATTGGGAGCGGAGGGTCGGAAAGGGTAGCAACAGCAACTGAGGCCACAGCATGCAAATTTTTTAAAATCTTATATGGAGAGTTATATGCTCTCTCTCTCTCATGTTGACAAACTAAATATGAAAACTAAGCAACTTTGAGAGTTGTACCATTTGCAATTAAATGTTTTTTTTTTGTTGGGTTTTTTTTTTCTTTAGTTTAGTTTTTTAGTTTATCACATTTATAAAACGCTCGCAATTTTTCTAAATAGATATACATGATCATAGGTAAATCGATTAAATATGTTTGTATATATATTTATATGCATTCATACAGTTATATATTAAATTAGTAGCATTACCTTGTACAAGTTAACTAAAAGTTGTCAATTTTTCTTCGTTAATAGCGCAGTGTACATTATATAGTATTTTTTCTTCTTTTCTTTTAGGGCACATTCAAGTGAAATAAACGCTTTTTGGACTCTTCTTAACAATTAAAAATACAATCATTTGTTTTGCTTAACTTAGTATTTTAAAAATTTCCTTTTTTTTTCTTTAGTATTTATCTTGTTTTTGCAACAACTACAATGCACATGCAAACAGAAATGATAAATTGTTGGAGTGCTAGCTAAAAGAACTCAATTTGAAACTGATACGCACTATGTTGGTATTGTTTCTTAATATTTTGTTTTACTAAAAGCGGTATTTTTTGGGTATTTTTGGGTATTTTTTTAGTTTTTTCTTTGTTTTTTGGCTAACTGTCTTGTAAAATTCGCGAAAGTATTTTTGTGTCAGACGAAGTCAGACGCGTCGTTTACTCGGTTGATATAAAGTTTAACAAGTTCGGATTTTTCGTTATAGTTGGAATGGAACTGCAATCGGGCCCATATAAAAAACCAATACATGGGAAGTATATATAACTGCCGGTAGGGGTGTTTCATTTTGAATTGCTCACACTAAAAAGAGTTATGACATTTATAAACGCTTACAAGTATATTTACTTTTCATTGTTTTTCTTTTTTTTTTTTTTTGGTTAGCAGAAATAAACTAATCGTTTTTGGTATTTTTTTTTTTAAATATTATTATAATTTATTTGAGGTTATGCACATAGATCGTGTCGCAGTAAATGGGATGTACATTTAGTTGATTTCTGGGTTTTAAGCTTTTTGTTTAAGATATTTTGCATTTATTCAAAATAAATGCTGTTTATCTGTTTACTTATTTTTTGTTTTTTGTTTTTTTTTTTTTAATTTTTTCGAACTTCTTTTGAAAAATACAAACATTTTTTTTGCTAGTAGAGCACAGCGTATTAGGCCTGTCCGTAGTTTATTTTGCATTTAAATACGTTTTTTTCTTTTTCGCTCTAACTCATATAATTTATGTTCATTTTTGTTTTTTTTTCGTATGTGGATATTTTGTTGTTGTTTCGTTTGGATTATTTGGTATTTATTTGCTAAGCTGTTAGGTGGAAAATCGGAAACACATATGTATATGTTAAGTATTTTCTTCTTTGAAACATGCGTACAACTAATGTATATATATACATATATATATACATATATATATACATATATATATATGTATGTATATACTGTGGTTGGTAGTTCTAATTTTTCTCTTTCTGCTCAAAAAAAAAAAAATACACAGTTACAAATAATAATTATAAGAAAAATTAACAAAAATAAATAAAAAAATATATATTACTAAGGCAAAGTAAATGCGCTTTGCGCATTATATTTTCGTGATCCATGTTTTGAGAACTGAATATATATATTTGTTGTTGTTGTTGTTTTTTTTTCTTTTGGATACTTATGGCATGGTCTAAGCTTATCGGTGTACCGTTTTGCATCATATAAAAATACCAACAGGTTTGGTATTTTCCATAATACCAACAGGTTTGGTATTTTCTCAAAAAAAAATTGTTCTTTTTATTTTAAGGTTTATATAATTGTGTTTGTTTTTTCTTGTTAGTAAATATGATTTGATTAGTATTTTTTTGCGGTTTTACAGCAAATAATTAAATGTGGTTTTCCAAGTGTTTGGAGATCGAAAATGTTGAATTTTTTTTGTTGTTTCTTGAAAGTTTTTTTTTTCCAACAATTAGATGTATTATCTATGCATATAGATATTTTGGATAGTTATACATGCCTCGTGTTATAACGACTTAAATAAGTATAAAGCACAAAGTGTTGACTTTCTTTTCATTACAGTTTTTGAATTCTTTTCTTCAGCGTAGATTTACAATTTCTAAATAATAGGCGTAGACTAAACTTCTTTCTTTTTTGTTTGTTTGTTTTTTGTTTTTTTAAAGATTCGCTTTAAACATGTTTGTTGTTGTTGTTGTTGTTGTTACCGTTGTTACTGTTGTTGTTTAAGCATAAAATTCCGTTTTTCCTTGGGTCTTATATGCCTCCTCCTCGATTTTGTACATATCCATAAGCTGTTAATGTGGTTTGTTGTTAAGTTAGGATTGATCAGTGCGATGACAGCGGCGGCATGATATAAAATATTTTTGAGTAAGGGTGAGAGAAAACGGGAGAAAAGAGAGAGAGAAAGAGAAAAACGAGATTTGGTTAAATTTTGACATGATGTTGATGTCGGCACAATGTTAGGGCGCACAGCAAAACATTTAGCGAATAGCGGTAACTGTTAAATGTTCATGTTAAATGTTTATGTTAAATAATATAA